CTCCCTCCTCCCTCCTCCTTCCTCCCTCCTCCCTCCTCCCTTCTCGACTCCTGCGAGTGCGCTCAGCTTGTGCCTGCCCCCGCTGCACCGCCCTGCGTCGTGTTGAGGGACGTCGGCGGACGAGCACTCGCTGGCGCCGAGAGATCCGCGCGACGCGCGGATCTCTTGGACCGGCGCCCGGCCCCCCCTTGGCGGCGCCTTCAGCGCCGTCGCGCCCCGCGCGCCAGTGACGAGGGGGTCTCCAGCGCCGAGCTTTTTGCGCGGCGAGGAATTCCCTGAAGGAGTCTCAAGTGATTCGTGTATATATATATATATTGCATTTATGTTGTAGCACGTCCTGTGCGGCGGCCCGCGTCTGTGACCGCTTGGCCAGCCGCCAGGCTGTGGGTCGACCCGGTTCGTCTGGCTAGCCTGACTCGCTCGTTGTCGCGGGCGCCCCACGCTGCCACCAACGCTGGGCTCTGTACTGGCAAAGTCGTCATGATCTGGGTGCGGCAAGCCAGGCGGCGGCTATCAGACACGTGTCGTGTGACCCGATGCCGCTTCAAAAAAACTGTTTTACACGCGGGGCATACGCCCGAATCGTCAATGGACGCCTTGATCGGAGCAGTCTGCTTATGAGCGATCCGCTTATGCTGTAACAAGGCCTTGCTGGTCGGGAAGCTGGCGTCGCAGCTACCACCCCAGAACTGCACACCCGGCGGAGCGTGGCAGCCTTGCACGGCCACCTTGCCCAGCGACGACTCACAGAAGAAGACTCGCTGCACAATCGAGGGCCAGTCGTTTTCTCTCATGCGAGACATCCGCATGCTGGGAGCCTCGGTGCAGCCAGGCATGGCGTCCAGCTCCGGCGCCAGGCGCCGGAGTAGGTCGAGGTCCACGATCCCCTGCGCAGCATGCGGCAGGGGCCGCCCTCGCGGGGCGCGCCTGCAGAAGGGCCCATACCGCGGGGGGCTGGCGTGGCACCACTCGGTGGCAGTCCGCGGAGGTGCCCGATGCAGAAATGTCCGCGCAGGTGTCCGATCCGTCCTGCGAGCGACGGAAGAAAACGGGGTCGTGTTGACCGGCGTCGGCGCGCAGGCTGCCCGCGTAAGCTCGCGCGTATGCGCCCTCGTTGCCAGTGCAGCGTGTCGCGCCGGCGGCCCGCGTCAGCCACCGCGTAGGGTCGCTACGTCATCTCGCGCAAGACCCGCTGCTGATCGTGAGCGACGAAAGGAAGCGCTTACGCGACCTTACGCGGTGGCTTACGCGGGCCGCCAGCGCGACACGCTGCATTGGACGCGAGGGCGCTTACGCGCGAGCTGCCGCGGGCAGCCTGGGCGCCAACGTCGGCGCAGTCGAAGCCCTGTGTTTGCGTCGCTCAATGTGTGTGTGTGTGTGCGTGTGGTGTGTGTGCGCGTGTGTGTGTATGTGTCTGTGTGTATGTATGTGGTGTGTGTGTGTGTTTGTGTGTGTGTGTCTGTGTGTGTCTCTGTGTATGTGTGTGTTTGTGTGTGTGTCTGTGTGTATGTGTGTGTTTGTGTGTGTGTGTTTGTGTGTGTGTCTGTGTGTGTGTCTCTGTGTATGTGTGTGTTTGTGTGTGTGTGTCTGTGTGTATGTGTGTATGTCTGTCTGTGTGTCTGTGTGTGTGTCTGTGTGTCTGTGTGTGTTTGTGTGCTTGTGTGTGTATGTGAGTGTGTGTCTGTGTGTGTGTGTCTGTGTGTATGTGTGTGTGTCTGTGTGTGCGTTTGTGTAAGTTTGTGTGTGTGTGTGTCTGTGTCTGTGTGTGTGTCTGTGTGTGTGTGTGTCTGTGTGTGTGTCTGTATGTTTGTGTGTGTCCTTGTGTGTGTGTGTGTCTGTGTGTGTGTGTGTCTGTCTGTGTGTGTCTGTGTCTGTGTGTGTCTGTGTGTATGCGCGTATGTGTCTGTGTGTGTGTGTCTGTTTGTGTATTTGTCTATGTCTGTGTGTGTGTCTGTGTGTGGGTGTGTGTGTGTCTGTGTGTATCTGTGTTTGTCTGTGTGTTAGTGTGTTTGTGTGTGTCTGTGTGTGTCTGTGTGTGTCTGTGTGTGTCTGTGTGTGTGTCTGTGTGTGTGTCTGTCTGTGTGTGTGTGCCTGTGTGTGTCTGTGTGTGTGTGTGTCTGTGTGTGTGTCTCTGTGTGTGTGTGTCTGTGTGTGGGTCTGTGTGTGTCTGTGTGTGTTGTGTGTTGTGTGTGTTGTTTGTGTTGAGTGTGTTGTGTGTTGTGTGTCTGTGTGTGTTGCGTGTGTTGTGTGTGTTGTGTGTTGTGTGTGTTGTGTGTTGTGTGCGTTGTGTGTGTGTTGTAGGTGTTGTGTGTGTGCTGTGTGGGTTGTGTGTTGTGTGTGTTGTGTGCGTGGTGTGTGTGTGTGTTGTGCGTGTTGTGTGTGTTGTGTGTCTTGTGTGTGTGTGTTATGCGTGGTGTGTGTATGTTGTGTGTTGTGTGCTGTGTGTGTTGTGTGTTCTGTGTTCTGTGTGTTGTGTGTTGTGGGTGTTGTGTGTTGTGTGATGTGTGTGTGTTGTGTGTCTGTGTGTGTGTGTCTGTGTGTGTGTGTCTGTGTGTATTGTGTGTTGTGTGTGTTGTGTGTGTTGTGTGTGTTGTGTGTGTGTGTTGTGTGCGTGTCTGTGTGTGGTGTGTCTGTGTGAGTTGTGTGTTGTGTGTTGTGTGTGTTGTGTGTGTTGTGTGTTGTGTGTGTTGCGTGTGTTGTGTGTGTGTCGTGTGTGTTGTGTGTGTCGTTTGTGTTGTGTGTGTGTCCTGTATGTGTGTCTGTGTTTATCTGTGTCTGTCTGTGTGTGTGTGTCTGTGTGTGTCTGTGTGTGTCTGTGTGTTTGTCTGTGTGTGTCTGTGTGTCTGTGTGTTTCTGTGTGTGTGTGTCTGTATGTGTCCGTATGTGTGTCTGTCCTTGTGCTTGTGTGTCTGCGTGTGTCTGTGTGTGTGTCTGTGTGTGACTGTGTGTGTCTGTGTGTGACTGTGTGTGTGTCTGTGTGTGTGTGTGTGTCTGTGTGTCTGTGTGTGTCTGTGTGCGTCTGTGTGTGTGTCTGTGTGCGTCTGTGTGTGTCTGTGTGTGTGTCTGTGTATGTCCGTGTCTGTCTGTGTCTGTGTCTGTGTGTGTCTGTGTGTGTCTGTGTGTATGTCTGTGTGTGTCTGTGACTGTGTCTGTGTGTGTCTGTGTGTATGTGTGTGTGTCTGTGTGTGTGTTGGTCTGTGTGTGTCTGTGTCTGTGTGTCTGTTTGTCTGTGTGTGTCTGTGTGTGTGTCTGTCAGTGCCTGTGTGTGTCTGTGTGTGTGTCTGTGTGTATATGTGTGTCTGTGTGTGAGTCTGTGTTTCTCTGTGTGTGTCTGTGTGTGTCTGTGTGTGTCTGTGTGTGTCTGTGTGTGTCTTTGTGTGTCTGTGTGTGTGTCTGTGTCTGTCTATGTGTGTATGAGTGTGTCTGTGTGTGTGTGTCTGTGTTTGTGTGTCTGTGTGTGTGTCTGTGTGTGTGTCTGTGTGTGTGCCTGTGTGTGTGTGTCTGTGTGTGTCTGTGTGTGTGAGTGTGTGAGTGTGTGAGTGTGTGAGTGTGTGAGTGTGTGAGTGTGTCTGTGTGTCTGTTTGTCTGTGTGTCTGTGCGTCTGTGTGTCTGTGTGTCCTTGTGCCCCCTCGCCTGTTCCTGCAGGAGTGCGCGGCTGGGCGCGAGGGCCGCGAGGGCGCCGCCGACGGGCCCCCGGGCGGGCAGGGCGCGCGGGAGGCAGAGCAGCGGGCGCAGGCGGCGGAGCGGAGGGCCCTCGAGGCCGAGCGGAGGGCGCTGGCGGCGGAGCAGAGGGCCCGCGAGGCCGAGGATCCCGACATGACGTCGTGATTTGAAGACAAGGCAAGACCCGGCGTCTTGAAAAAAGCGTCTTGAAAAAAACACAACTCCAGGGAGTCAAGACCGGCAAGACCGGCAAGGCTTGAAAAAAAGACAAGGCAAGACCGGCAAGACCAGGCGTCTTGAAAAAAACACAACTCCAGGGAGTCTGGGGAGTCGGGCGGGGCTACAGGGCGAGGAGCAAGCCGGTCCAGAGCGTGCCGGAACGCTCTGGGAAGGGCGCAGCGCCCAAGGCATCCTCCAGAGCCGCCGGATCTCAGAGATACTCGAGGCATCCTCGCCCGAGTTCGTCCTCGTCGTGGCTCGGCGGCGAGCGAGCGGGGGGAAGTGAGAAGGGGCGGGCCTTCTCGCAAGGCTCGGGAGTCCCCTGGACCTCCGAGAAGATCCCTGAGCTTTCCCTGAAGACACAGGGCACTTCTCAGAAGGCGCGAGGGCTTCTGAGAAGTCCCGCCGCCTTCGGAGGAGGGCTTCTCCTCCTCCTCCTCCTCCTCCTCCTCCTCCTCCTCCTCCTCCTCCTCCCCCCCTCCCCCTCCCTCCTCCTCCTCCTCCTCCTCCTCCTCCTCCTCCTCCTCCTCCTCCTCCTCCTCCTCCTCCTCCTCCTCCTCCTCCCCTGGGCGCGCCGCCGAATGCAGCTCTCGGGTCATGGCTTCTGGGCTCCGGCGGCCGTCCCGCACGATCCACGGGCATCCCCGGAACGCTCTCGGCGAGAGGCGAGCCGCCGCGAGAAACTGCGCACACGCCCGAAAACCCAGGGCCTCGACGTTCGGACCTCCTCGAGCTCCCCCCCCCTGAGGAGGTCGAGGTCCTGGCGTCGACGCTCGGACCTCGAGCTTCCCCCCCCCCGCTCGCTCGCCGCCGCCTGGCTCTCCGCCTCAAGGAGCGCGCGCGGCAGAGCGAGCAGAGGGCGAGGGAGGGCGAGGCCGGAGGGGGCGCGGAGCGGTGTACGGATTTGGACGCCCGAAATGGGTACTGAAAGACTGGGTACAATGCCCAACAACAGTTCCTGTTCATTTTGAACAGGATTCGCTGTCCACGCCGCCGCGGCCTGTGTCCATTCGAGACAGAAGGCCGCCTGCCCAACAGCGGCCGCTGTTGGCTTGGGACAACATTTGTTGTTGAGCATAGTGCCCATTCTTTCCGTACCCATTTCGGGCGTCCAAAACGGAGGGCGTGCGCTCTCGGAGCTCCGCGCGGCCTTCCCGGGTCGGCCCGGGGGGCGAAGTCGGGCCTGCCCCCCTGCAGGGGGATCGTCGACGAAAGGCAAAAGACAGTCAAAAAGTAATCCAACATGGTTTCACAGAACAGTATTTTGACTAATTTTGGAATTTCTGAGATTTTCGCATTTGGATATTCAAAAAATCGGACACAACAGAGTCCAGACTATTTTTTGACTATTTTTGCAAATTCCCCCCTGTAGAGGGACAGGCCCGACTTAACCCGGCGGCGGCGCCTCCTTCGCCGCCCCCCGGGCGCGCTCCGCGCGCGAGGGACGACGACGACGACGACGTCGCCGCCCCCGGCCCAGCGCCGAGCCAAGAAGTCCGCGCGAACTTCCGAAAGTGCGTGCTTGCGCCGTTCTGTGGCCTCCTCTTCGAGGCTGCGATGAGAGCACACGTCGCCCGGCTGGTGGCCGAGAACGAGCAGGTCCAGAAGCAGGCCCAGGCGGCGAAGGAGGCGTTCACGGAGCGGCTCGGCGGACTGGAGCTGCAGCGGGATGCCGATGCCGCTGCCTGGGGCGGGAGGGACGACAAGGGCATGTGCGAAGCGCAGTTGGCCGCACTGGACTCGGAGAAGAAGCAGTTCCGGCAGGAGGCCACGGCAATCTTCAAAACCATGGAGGACTTTCTGAAGAGCCAGCTGCACGGATTGGAGCAGAACAGAACACAATTCCAACAGTACCTTGCCAACTCCGCCCAGGCAAAGGAGGCGGATGAGGATGTGCACGAAGCTCAGTTGAGCACGCTCGAGTCGGAGAGGGAGCAGTTCCGGCAGGAGGCCAGCATAATTTTCAATTTCATGGAACACACTCTGAAGAGCCAGCTGCACGGATTGGAGCTGGACAGGGGCCGACTCCAACAGCAGCTCGCCGCCTCCGCCCAGGACAGGGAGGTGGACGAGGATCTGCTCGATGCGCAGCCCAGCCCGCCCGAGTCGCAGAAGGAGCAGCCGCGGCAGGGAGCGAGTGACGGGAGCGAGGCCCAGCAGAAGCAGCTCGGGGGCTGCGGGCAGGAGCTCGAAGCAGCCACCGCCGCATAGCGCACAAAGGCCCCCGGAGCTCCGCGCGGACTTCCCCGACCTGCCACGCCGCCCACGCCGCCCAGGGCTGCCGCGCCGCGGGCGCGGGCCGCGCGCTGCGGCGCCCGCCCCGTCGGCCCGAGCGCCACCGACGGGGCGCCCTCGGCCCGACCGCGCGCGGCCGCGCCGCGGCGCGCGGGCGGCGGCGCGGCGGCGCCGGCGCCCGCGCGAGCGGCCCGAGCGCCACCAGCGGGGCGCCCTGGGCCCGACGGCGCGCGGCCGCGCCGCGGCGGCGGCGGTGCCAGCCCGAGTGGCCGCCGCGCGGCGGGGGCGCGGGCGCCCCAGCGGCGCTGCGCGGCGGGCAGCCGCGCGCGCAGCGTGGGGGTGTAGGCAGGCCCTCCAGGCGAGCAGCGGCGGCGCGCGGCCACGCGCGCTGCCGGGGGCCACGTCAGGGGCAAGTCGGGCCTGTCCCTCCACAGGGGGAATGGTCAAACATGGTCCAAAAATAGACGGGGTACGATTTGTTTGACCATGTTTGAACATTTGTTGCATATGTTTTTTTTTTTTCTTTCCAACATCCGCCTGTGGGAGGACATGCCCGACCCAACGTTGGGGTGGGGATGGCCTCACGAGGGGGCGCGTCGACCCACGGTCGCCGATGGGGCCCTCGCGGCCCACTCCGCCCAGGCGCTGCGGCGTCGCGCCGAGAGGACGTGTCGCCAATGCGGGGTCGATGCTTCGCCCCCGGAGGAGGAGGAGGAGGAGGAGGAGGAGGAGGAGGAGGAGGAGGAGGAGGAGGAGGAGGAGGGGGAGGGGAGGAGGAGGAGGAGGAGGAGAGGGGAGGGAGGAGGAGGAGGAGGAGGAGGAGGAGGAGGAGGAGGAGGAGGGAGGCGGAGGCGGAGGCGGAGGCGGAGGAGGAGGAGGGAGGAGGAGGAGGAGGAGGAGGAGGAGGAGGAGGAGGAGGAGGAGGGGGAGGGGGAGGGGGAGGAGGAGGAGGAGGAGGAGGAGGAGGAGGAGGAGGAGGAGGAGGAGGAGGAGGAGGAGGAGGAGGAGGAGGCGGAGGCGGAGGCGGAGGCGGAGGCGGAGGCGGAGGAGAGGAGGAGGAGGAGGAGGAGGAGGAGGAGGAGGAGGAGGAGGAGGCGGAGGCGGAGGCGGAGGCGGAGGCGGAGGCGGAGGAGGAGGAGGAGGAGAGGAGGAGGAGGAGGAGGAGGAGGAGGAGGAGGAGGAGGAGGGAGGAAGGAGGAGGCGGAGGAGGAGGAGGAGGAGGAGGAGGAGGCGGAGGCGGAGGCGGAGGCGGAGGCGGAGGCGGCGGAGGAGGAGGAGGAGGAGGAAGGAGGAGGAGGAGGAGGAGGAGGAGGGAGGAGGAAGAGGAGGAGGAGGAGGAGGAGGAGGCGGAGGAGGAGGAGGAGGAGAGGAGGAGGAGGAGGAGGAGGGGGGCCCCTCAATGGTCGCCCCTCCGTCTGGAGAAGCTTAAGCGGAGGGCTCATACCCAGACCTGCTCGCGCTGTGAACAAATCACGACGGCAGTTTTTGTGTCGCTGGTTTCGGCCTCCGGGGGCCCTCCCTGGGCCTCGGGACCGTCAGAAAACGACTCAGGATGGGAAACAGGTCCTGGGGAAAGGGTCCAGACCTCTGGGGGTCGACGTTGTGAAAAAATTACAACATCGGGAGTCTGTGTGAGAAGCACCAGTTCTCAGACGTCCACGGGCGGTTTGCCTGACTGCGCCGGGCCTCCATGTCAGGGAACACGCGGACGGCCAGGTCGATGATCCTCAGGAAGTCCCTTGGCCCACTCCTCCTCCTCCTCCTCCTCCTCCCCCTCCTCCTCCCCCTCCTCCTCCTCCTCCTCCTCCGCCTCCTCCTCCTCCGCCTCCTCCTCCTCCTCCCCCCCCGCGTTCCTGGATTTGGCGCTCCTCGCGGTAGCACGATGACTGTAGGCCCGGGGCGGCGCTTCTGGCGCCGCCTCTGGGGCGCTCCGCGCGCAGGGGAGGGGGGTGGCGGGGAGGGGGTCCGGCGTTGGCGGAGAGGCCTCCCGCGGACGTGCGGAGGTTGATGTGCGTACAGAGTGTTTGTCCCCCTCGCGCGTGGCGGCACATTGGAGGCCAGGCCTCCGCGGGGGGGCTGCACATCTTCCCGAAGGAGCGTGCCACGCAAGACGGCCACCCCGACGTCACGAGGTCAGCGGCAATGTCGACGACGTCTGGGGGTCCCTCGCGATCTTCGGCGCCCAGCTTTCTGGTGCTCGGCTGGAAGCGAGCCAACGGCGCGCCATGGCTCAACTATCCTGGCGAAGGACCCAACCATATGAAGTTGTGGGTACCGCAATTGTGAATATCTTCTTCGGTGAAGCTCCCTATGGGGCCAAGACGCGCTGCGCCTGGGCGGGGGGGGAGCGCATGCGGGCGGTAGCACTGGGGCCGTCGGTGAAACTCCTTATGAGGCCACGAAGCGCTGCACTGGGTATGCGAAAATGCCAAGTTGGGTGTGGGGGACGCAAGCGGGCGGTCCCATTGGGGGCTTCGGTGGAGCTCCCTAATTGTGGGTGGGAATGCCAAACTGGGTGTGGGGGACGCATGCGGGCGGCCCTACTGGGGGCTTCGGTGGGGCTCCCTATGGGGCCACGAAGCGCTGCACTGGGCGGGTGAAAATGCCAAATCTGGTTTGGGGGACGCATGCGGGCGGTCCCACTGGAGGTGTCGGTGGGGCTCCCTGCGGGGCCACGGAGCGCTGCACTGGGTGGGTGACAATGCCAAATCGGGTGTGGGGGACGCATGCGGGCGGTCCCACTGGGGGCTTCGGTGGGGCTCCCTATTGGGCCACGAAACGCTGTAGTGGGTGGGTGTAAATGCCAAATTTGATGTGGAGTGCGCATATGGGCGGTACCACTGGGGGCTTCGGAGGAGCTCCCTATGGGGTCGCGAAGCTTTGTACTGGGTGGGCGAAAATGTCAAATTGTGCGTGGGGGGCGCATGCTGGCAATCCCAGTGGGGGCTTCGGTGGATTTCCCTATGGGGCCACGAAACGCTGCACTGGGCGGGTGAAAATGCCAAATTGGACGTGGGGTGCGCATGCGGGCGGTCCCAGTGGGGGCTTCGGTGGAGCTCCCTATGGGGCCACGAAGCGTTGTACTGGGTGGGTGAAAATGCCAAATTAAGCATTGGGGACGCATGCGGGCGGTCCCGTTGGGGGTTTCGGTGGGGTTCCGTATTGGGCCACGAAACGTTGTACTGGGTGAGTGAAAATGCGAAATTGGATGTGGGGGACGCGTGTGGGCGGTCCCACTGGGGGCTTCGATGGGGCTCCCTATTGGGCCACGAAACGTTGTACTGGGTGGGTGAAAGTGCCAAATTGGGCGTGGGGGGCGCATGCGGTCAGTCCCACTGGGGGGCTTTGTTGGAGCTCCCTATGGGGGCGCGAAACGCAAAACTGGTTGGGTGAACATGCCAAAAGTGGGCGTGGGGGGCGCATGCGGGCGGTCCCAGTGAGTTCTTCGGTGGAGCTCCCGATGGGGCCACGAAACGCTGCACTGGGGGGGTGAAAATGCCAAATTGGGCGTGGGGGACGCACGCGGGCGGTCCCACTTGGGGTTTCGGTGGAGCTCCCTATGGGGCCACGAAGCGCTGTACTGGGTGGAAGAAAATGCCAAATTGGACGTGGGGGACGCATGCAGGCGGTCCCACTGGCGGGTTCGGTGGAGCTCCCCATGGGGCTTCGAAACGTGTGAGGGATGTGCCGAAATGGGGGACGCATGCGGGCGGTGGAGAGGAGGAGGGGGAGGAGGAGGAGAAGAGGAACGCGGGGACCGTCTCTTCAAAACGAGGACCCAACACCACAGGATGGTTGGGAAAAAGAGGGGGGGCTCTCAATTCGCGTCCTCCCCTTCGGAGGTAAAACAAATGCGTTTGGGGGCCCTCTGGGGCCGCTCATGGGCGCTCTTGGGGCCCTCTTGGTTCCTTCTTGAGTCTCTTGAGCCCCTCTTGCCTCTCTTGGGCCGTCTTGGGGCCACGCTCGAGTACAGCGTCAGACACGCCCTTGGCCGACGGCGCTCCCGGTTCACTTGCTGCTGAGGCCTCGCACGGCTGGTTGTGCTGTAGACTCGTCACGGGGCGGCGTTCTTTAGCCATCCATTCGGCTGCCCTCCGGCGCGCGCGCGCTCCGTCCTCCTCCAGTCCCATTGTTTAGGTTGAGTCGGTTTCAGCTCTGATCTGGCGTTTGGGGCGGGCCAGTGAGCGGGGCACATCGTCACTTTTCCTCCTCCTACTTTCTCCTTTCCCTCCCCTTTACCCACCCCGCTTTCTCATATACCCGGCTTACGCGAGACCCTGAGACAGCGTACTCAATCAATTGAGAGACACGCATTGGAAAGGGGTCGATTGCGCGGACATTCATGCGCAAGCTGCCTGGTCGCGCGAAAGCGCGCTTGCGTCCACGCGGTGTGCCGCGTTGGCGGCCCTTTCTCCTCTTCTGAGGTTCATGGGAACCCCACCCTGCCAAGTCGATTAGCAAATGCATTGCCCCTTTCTCGACCAGAAAACGAAGGACGCCACCCCACCTACGGCCCTCCGTGTTGTGCTACGGCCCATCGGGTGCCGTAGCGTATACCACGCAAAAGCCCGCGCCTGATTTCCTGGTATATGCTTAAGCCGCCTGGGGCCGCAGGTGGGTCGGTATCGTTTGTTTTCTGATTCACTCTTCGGTTGTTGGAAGGTTGTTGCGGCCGCAGTTTCTGCGGGCCTGCGCCCAGTGGGTCTGGTCCCGGGTCGTTCTCAGGCAGGGGCGTTTTGCTACAAGGGGTTCTGACCCCCGTCTTCGTCGTCGGTCAACTGTTCCCGCAGGTGGAAGCACCGCCCGAGCGGAGGAGGAGGAGGAGGCGGAGGAGGACAAGGAGGAGGAGGACGAGGAGGAGGAGGAGGAGGAGGAGGACGAGGAGGAGGAGGAGGAGGAGGAGGAGGAGGAGGAGGAGAGGGAGGGAGGGAGGGAGGGAGGGAGGAAGGGAGGAGGAGGGAGAGGAGGAGGAGGAG